ATTCCTGCTTAAGGTGAAGTTGCAGTTAAAAGTAAGCCAAGGAATCCCTGAAAGAAAATTACGGATTTGGGTTCACTGCTTTAGTGACAATAACATCACCTTTGGGAGGCAAAGGAAGAAAATTAATTTGTAAACAAGGCTGTAGTTAATACCATGCTACAACTCTGAACCTATTTAAATAACAAATTTCAAATTTTTCAATTGCTGTTTTCTGCTGATAGTCACTGAGAGACTTTCAGGGCAGTCAAATCCTCCCTTTCACTAGTGGTACCTGTTTCTAACAGACCAAGTTTTAACTCCTAATTGCATGCGATCCAAATAATAAGCAATGATAATCGGACTTCAAAATAAACTGAGAGTTAGGAAAAAACAAAGTTCACATCTGTAAAGTAACTTTATACCCTTCTTCATTCATTCTACAGAAGCAATTCAAAGGCTTCTCACCTCTTTGAGGTAGCGCATCAAACGGCAGAGAGCGTTCACCAGCGATAAGGTAAATCCAGTGAGCCCTTCACTTCTCTCATTTTTTTGAACCTCACGACCTGTACTTCGCTCATATTCTTCCAATTCATGCTCCACTTCACGTATCATGCGGTTGAGAATATCTAGGCTGGATCTGTTGTCCCTCTGAAGGCCAATGGGGATTGAATTAGCTGGAGAATCATCCCTCCTTTGTCTGGCAGAGTTCTGTGCAGTTTTTCTTTTCACTGAGGGAGTTTAAAAAAAAAAAGCATCATTGGAAATTCAACTTGTACAGAAAGCTTTGCAGTACCAATGAAATTACATTGTTTATTGAACTAAATCAAAAGAGAGGCCTTCTCTTGACCTGTGCTGAAATGGACCAAAGAATATCCCCAGTCACTTTGATTATTTTCAGATCAAAAAAAATAAATTTTCTACCACCACATTAGTACCTCTAAAGCATCATTTTTTGGCACTTTTATCTTAGACACCTATTTATACTTTCCTCCTTCTCAGTTAAAAGCATGGAAATGCTTTTAACAGCAGGTTAAAAATATCAGCTGCTTCCAGGTCTTTTATTTAGTGAGCAACTCTTCTACAACAATCCTTTCATGTTACAGTTTGTATCTGACGTCAGTACCCGCACACAAGTCTGTGCTGAATATGGGTACTGAAATGCATTCTAAGTCTGTGCAGCATAGAACAGAAAGCTGTATCAGAAATAGAGAAGCCCTGCATAAGAAAGAACCCCATGGCTAGCGGCAAAGGGCCGTATCTATGGTTCCCAGATTCATATGAATTTTGCTTCACCAATGAACATGTAGAATACAAGGAAATCACTCCACAAGGGGCTGTGGAATGTTCACCTTTAGAGATGCCCAAAACTCAGCTGGACAAGGTCCCCTAATCAAATTTTGGAGTTAGTGCTATGATGACTTCCAAAGACACCTTTTAATCTACATTTTATCATGCTATTAAGGTCCTGGGTCAAAAGGAGGCACATTATTTTTAGAAGTACTAAACTTTTTGCTGCAATTTGCTTTTGTCTCCTTGAGTTCGGGTTCAGCACTTGTCTCACAGTGTAAGCAGAGTCTACAGTCTCATCTTCATCTTCATTCTGCAGCCTTGAATGGACTCTCTTGACTACACTGGTAGCATTGAGGGCTGATTTAAAACACAAAACAAAACAAAAATTACACACACAAAATATTTCATGTATGTTCACAGAATCATAGAATGGCCTAGGCTGAAAGGGACCTTAGAGATCATTTAATCCAACCTCCCTGTCGTGGGCAGGGACGCCTCTCAACTAGTTCAGGCAACACATGGGGACCAAACAGGGATCGAACCCGCAACCTTGGTGTTATGAGCACCACGCTCTAACTGACTGAGCTAACTGGACCCCTAGTAGTATGCTATAAGGTAATTTTGTTACACGGGCTGGTTTTTTTAGTCTGAAAATTCATCTGAGCCAAATTAGCATATGTCTCTGTCTCTCACCCCCACCCAGAAAAGGAATTCCAGACAGGATCCTATGAACAGCTGAACAACCCTTGACTTGGAAAATCCAACCTGAGTGATCCAATGATGGAGAGAACATTGTTGGAGTCAAAGGCACATTTGATTCCTGCGATAAGGTAGTTTTTCTCATATCTTCTTCAGTCCACAACCGAGTATTCACCAATGAATTTTCTTCTCTCAGTAACCGAAGTAGCCTACATTCAAAACAAGGATAACGTGAATTGTGACTGGATAATATCATGATTCTAGATTATCTGTACAGCCTAGGAAAAGCTTTTTAAAACACCTATAACAGCTCAGGTGAGTTCCATGCTTACGTTCAGTCCCAGTCTGAATGTTACAACAAAGGGTTTCCTTAGAATCCCGAGTTTAGGAACAGAGTGGAAGGGCAGGGAATAGAAAATGTAACGTAGCTATTCCCATGCAACATCTCCTTAACTCCGTCTAGTTCCAGTGCTGAGAAGGTGGAAACCTGAATGGATATATTTGTACTGACCTGTCAGAATTGATGCTGGATTTGAAGTTCAGAGAGTCATGGTGTCCATCTTCAGACTGACTGACTGATAATGCTTCCTCTTCTACTTCACTAAGGGCCTTCTTAGGAGATAACAAAGAAAACAAAAAGGACTTCAGAGTAATTTCAATTTGACTTTAGGAAGAAGTTAGAGATCAATTTTCTGAAAATGTTTCAAGAAAAAAAAACCCACAAACATTTGTTTCAGTCTCTATCTCAAAAAGTAATTTAAAAATAAAAACAATCCTCTGCAGGAAGAATTTCAGATTACTTTAGTACCTAAGAAATACTGATACCGGTAATTGTCTCCGAAAGTAACACAGCAAATGATTAATGCAATATCCAACATTTGATTTGGATAACTTACACTTAGTAAGAAAGACCACACACAACATAGGATAAAAAAAAGGATTAAAAAAAGAAGACGTGGTATGCAATACATAAAAGACAGGTTCAGATCTGCTTGGAAACTCTACCTTTGCATATTCTTATTTTGTGCAAACAAAAAAGCGGCAGGACATGCATGGAACAGAACATACATTACCTGGGAATCCATGACAGATTCACTAAGGATGGAAACCTGAGTGAGAGGGTCACATTTTTGTACAATGGGTCCTTGAGATGATTCTAGGTCACAGTTAGGAGCCACTGTTACGTTAGGGAAACCTAGAGGAATCAGACAAAACGGGGAAGAACACAGAGGACTTGGTCTGTAGTATGTTGCAGGATACCATACTAAAAAGAAAGTTCCCCTGCTTCACACAAAAAGGGTCACAGGGATGTACGTTGCTTTAAACAACCACCAAAGACCAACCACAGCCGTGTAAACATTCAGCCATGTACCAGGTTTTCGTCCTTTTCACCTGCATAAAGATACTTGTGCGGAAGCAGCACGTAGGATGAAACAGTCATTATTAGCAAAAGAGAATGGCAGCCTATGGAGAAAAGAACTTAAGCTTAAGATTTCACATGCAAACAGCCAGTCCTGCCTTCCAGCAGGATAAGGACCTACAAGCCAGCATAAGAAAAGGAAAAGCCTTGTTCACAAATTGCTGATGAATCGTCAATAACATCCAAGAGCAAGGAGTCAATCTGTGGAGCAATGAGAATCAGATCTACTACCGTAGCTCAAACTAGTGTTCTGTACAGGTCAGTAGCTCGGCTGGGGAAATGGTGGGCACGAGACGTTTCATAGTAAGTGATCTGAAAGTCCACAGTGGACCAGCAGAGTAGGAGAACTGGCCATGGGTCACTCTTCCTGACCATGGGAGGTGTTATCCTCATCTGTGTTTCACCCAGCATGAACACGATTAATTCTACTACATCAGATGATGAGATGAAAACGGTTAAAAAGAATACTTGGCAAAGCAAGGCTATTTATGAAAACCAAAAGATAATCTTCAACGTACTGCCCCATATAAGTGAGATAGTCTACCTGTTCGTGTGCGAGGAATATCCCCAAACAAGTCTTTTGCCACAGCCATAACCTGATCAGATCGTTCCAATACATCTTGCAAACTGTAGTGATCAGACAGAATCTGAAAGCATAGCATATAAGGAAATATTTCATACTGAGCAGACCAGTTTTTCCTTTGCTTTTGTGGTATTGTTCTTCTAAAGAGTTAGCAAAAGAACAGCCAACAAGACAATGTCTGCAAAGCTGGTACTGTGCAATTAGATTCTAATTAAGACAGATCAGAAAAATCACACTTCATTCTGGGTGACTAGAATTCACCTTGTTTTTCTGAAAAATTAAACAGTTACTACTCCTGGGTCCCCCATCAGCACTGCCTCTTTCTCTCTAGAGCCAATCGTCTCACTCCCTTCTGCTCCCAGCCAGACATAAACAACAAGTTGGGTGTTTATGACACACTCTACAAAACAAAGACATACGTGTGGCAACTAAAAGAAATAAAAATCAGTACATGTCTTCAAATCATATGACACCATTGTTATCCAGTCAAAGAACACTTATATACATCTGAAAGACACCCAAAAATTGTACTATGTGATTAGATTCAAACCAGTTCAGACAGACTCGTTTCATTGAGCCTTGCCTATTGAAAATCCTGCCTAAAAATTAAGCCACCTACCACTGCAAAAGTTTCAAGAGACATAGACACTGCAATCAACATCTGGCATCAGAAGACGTTTTGAGAATCTCCATACATTTCTCGAGGCATAGCTTCTGCATTCAAGGCCCCTCTCCCTGAGCGTTCGAAGTCCATCGGTAGCACCGTGACAGCTGCCTCCTAAGGAAGAAGGTCTTGGAGCTCAAAGCAAGAGGCATTCAGCTACCATGAGCTGAATGGAGCTGCATTCCAAAGAGCTACCTTGAGTCGAATGGAGCTGCCTGCAGTCACGGCTTCTTGGGGAAAACACAATTCAAAACTCCTCACTGGCTTGTGGTTTCATTCACAAAGGAAATGGCAAACTAGTAAAACTATATTCTGCAACCTGGGAAGAAGGTGGTTATTCTTTAAGATCAGACCAGCCATGTAAATGACCTCTATTCATTGTGGTTAATTAAATTTAGCCAGAGAGACCTCAAATTCTTCAGAAGATCCCACAGTGAAGACAGGCTCACGTATGCCCCCCTATTCAAAATTTCTGAACTGAGTGACAACTTTTGCTCCCTCAGGTATCAGGCTTGCAGCAATTTCAGAGCATTATATGCTGTTACCTCCAGAGCTCCATTGATAAATTTGCTGGTTTATATTCAGCCTTATTCAAAAAATTCTAGGCTGTGGCATTTCATCTGCTTCCCTCCCACCTCCCCATTTTCCTATGCTTTGTTACACCAAGAAGTTTCCTCACATCTTTCCACACCTTTCTGGTCTTTTGAGGCCGAATTACACTGCAGTATACTACGCTTCTCTTAATCCATTTAGCAAATCAGTGAACGTACATCTTGCAATCACCTCACATATCTATTTTTCTAAATCACTATTCAGTTTTTACATCTGATATTAGCTAAATCTAGTCTTTCTGTTTAGCCATCTGATGACAAAACAATGCAGGTTCTTAGCCAAAGTCATGCCAGATCCAGAGAAGGGGAAAGAAAAAAAAGGAAAAAAGGTTACCTGTCCAAAACATGATTGCTTTCCCTAAGGCAATTAATACTGACATCTTTAATAAGACAAAAATTATCCTGATTTATTTGTTTTCACCCTGTCTACTATATCTCTTTCAGCATTAGCACGTTCCTAAGCTTCACCCTCCTGCTGAGCATGTTATGAACACTTTTAGAACGTTGCTCTCATGGTAGATTAGCTCACATTTGCTTGTTATCAGCAGAAAACAAAGCTTCTAACCCCTCTGGGCCCACTTGCATACCCTTGACAAATTCACTGTGTTCTGTACTCTGCCCCAGTTTGGTATCACCTATGAATATCATTAAAACTCATGTTCCCTCCTGTTTCAGTTTGTTACCAGGGATAATTAAACAGGCCTAATCCTAAAACCTCCCCACTATGATAACTCACTCTTCAGCGCAATACATTAATGTTCTTTTAAAAATAGGCTGTTACAAGACTAATCAGTGTGGTACCTACACATTCACCATCTACAGTTACAGGGGCAAACTCATATTGCTTTTTGGTTCAGATTTTTAGGCAGACAAATCTCCAAAAGATTAAAATGTTGCTCATCCATTTTATAACCTTTGTTCTTTTTCTTTTCAGCCTACAAGAAAAAAAACCACACTAGTAGCAACATCTTTCTAGTTTTTGTCTCTCAGTCTTTTGCAGCCAGTAGGACTGCCATAGGAAGCTACACTCTCACAACAGTAAATAAGGAACAAAGACCATCAAGAAAAGGAGAAAATCTCCATTGGTTGTGTTCTCCTGGGAGACCCAGATTAGAGTCCTCCCAGTTACTCTGAACAACAGCAGCCAGCAACGAGATTTAAGTTAAGTTAACAAGATCTAAGCTAGGCGTAGGTGACAATAGTGGCTGTCCTCCATCTATAGCATGCCAGTGTTCCAAAACAGCAATAGCCAGGTGAGTTTCATCTTGCTGGGCATCACCTTTTGTCTTCCTATCTGGAAGCATCTTTTTTCTGATTCAGAAGTAGGTACAGGGTATGCTGAATACGTCATCTCTGAATTTTAAAGCGGAAAGCCACTCAGGAAGAATTGAAATCTGTGAATTGTCACTGGAAATGGCAACAAGTACAGAAGACTATTCCCTAACTATGAGTTTCACATCTGTGAAATAGCAGTCACATAACAGGCAATCTAGCTAAATCTTAGAGAGAGTTGTCTAATCTACCTTTGTCACATATAATTTTTTTCTGCACAGAAGTCTTATTGAAGTTAGCCTGCTATTACATTAAAGAAATCTGTATAAAAGCGCATAGCTTTTTAAAATATTCCACTAAAATGCACTTGGCAGAAAAGTATGAAAATAACAAAGGTCAAAATTAGTCTGAAACCTGATTAGCACAGTATCCTTAACATAAAAATTTTACATGTCAAATAGAGAACCAAAAGGTGATTATCAATTTCAAGTACTTTCATTTGTTTCTATCTATGCTTCAGTGTTCTCAGAGATCGGAAAGAGATTTCTGAAAATTTATAAAAGGTGAAAAAGAGAAGAGATCTCCAGTGGTTAATCCACTGCACATTTAGAGGACTACTATATCAGGTTTATTTTAACTACCAGGTGAACATTGCTCATTGTTATACCAACAAGAATAATTCTAAGTTTGTTCAAGAGCTGATGAGGTCCGAAAGCTAATGACTACGTTTTGAGATTAGTTTTTATAATATACAGCAAGCAGTCACCTTCCATGTGAAACAAAATTAAGTCTACCATTCAAATTCCTTTTCAGACAGTGACAGCTACTGTCTATGTTAGCTAGGCTTAGGTTTGCCGCTACAGTACAGTATTTCAAAAGCAAATTAAAACAGTATATTTTCAGTTAGAGTGCTTCAGAATGCCTAGATAACTAGCTTTTTGATCCCCAGATGACAAGCTTGTCTGATAGCAGCCATAGCTCTTCAACCTTTGTTGTGTTCATTTTCCTTCCAGACACACTCTGTCTTTTCTCTGCTCCAATAAGCAATGGTAGATAAGGACGTCCCCCCCAGAAAGAGAAATGCTCATGTTTCTATCAAAGAAAAAATCCTAGACAGGAGGAGGAAAAGGCAAGACAGCAGTAAGAACACTAACAATACACTTTCCACAACACATAGTTTAACTCTGCAAACAGTTCCTGGTCAGATGCAGAGAGGCCTGTGGAATTACAGAGGGCATAGTCAGGCAACAAGGATCAAATGCACAACTGTATGGACCAGTCACTATGTTACACAGCCTATTCCAACCACTGTATGCACACAGCACATAGAGGAGGGAGAGTGTATGAATTCACGCAGTCAAGCAGCCCAAGAAGAGGAGCGAATTTTGACCTGCATGCCAGAGCAGTTTTCTGCTACTGCTGCAAATCATCTGCAGCAGGCTAAAAAAGTGCTTAGCTCTCACCTCACGCATCAGAGCCAACTTCCTTTTCTCCAAGGAATCAGCAGCCAGTTGGTTTTGCTTCTTCCATTTTCTCTTCAGTGCTTTCTCCTGCAGCTCCAAATGCGCCAGTGCTTTGTTTTTCGATTTGTGTATTTCATGGCGACGCAGCTATGTAAACAGAAAAGAAATAATTTCAAAATCAAGGGACAATCAAAAGCTATATTTGCAGGGTAAGGCTTACAAGCTCTTCTTGATTTTAGCATCCAAGCTCTGGATGCTATTTATGTTAACTTCACAGTAGTACCAATGACAGCTTCACAAACATCCAGAAGTGTACAATGCCACCAGTACCAGCCAAATTTAAAAAGGCTCCAAAGGTGAAGGGAAAAAGTCTCAGTTTCCATCTACCCTACACCACTGAGTCAGAAGAAGCTTTCTCAGCTGAAAAGGGACAAAAAAGCCACACACTATCACCTATACTACATATAAAAAGACATTTTCCTGATTTAACATTGTCAGTCATCAGAGATATTCTCTCTCTTCCTCTAACAACGATATATATACACATATATATTCAGTTTAAATACACATCAAACATGTAAGGTACTTGCTAAGGGGTCTGGAAGCTATCAAGCTAATCACTTACAGAATACACTCTCTCGGCTATTGTGCCCATCTCTGCTAAGTAACTTCCCAAAATTTATACAGTACAACAGTTCATACTGCCTATTCCATGCTGTCAATCCCTTCTACCAAGGAAAAGGAAATGGAATTCACATCTTTTGTAAAGAACAGGTTGTTCAGTATAAAGAAAGGATGTTATATTGTTTAGATGAAAACTGAGTATCCTCGGAATTGGAGGGATTCCTAAAATACAGCACATCTTTCAGTCCTTCAAGCAGAGATGTGACTTAGCTTCAACTACTCCACTGAGTTTTTATGTATTTATGTTTTTACGCTGTTATATACATTATTGTAATAAAACCTACAGCTACTGCTTCCCAATGCAAACAGAAAACCGAAAAAACCCTAACTGCCAGAGCTGGTGATGCACAATATCATAAACAAAGAACTAACACTAAAGAGCCAATATTTTCAGAAGCTTAAAAAGGAGGATGAGACGCTGGTAGAAAACATCTCCATAAGTATGGTAAACACACCCGATAACCAGCTAGTAAACTTACGATATCCTCAGCAGTTGCACGGTGGACTGTCAAATCCTGGACGGTGCTCTGCAAACAGGAACCAGAGAACACATCAAAAGTCAGAAGTTAGGATGAACTGGGTTTTTTCTTTTCCAAGTTCCGTTTAAAAAAAAAAAAATCCCTCAAGATTGTGATACAATTAACATAAAACTACACAACGATGCATTTTTTACGGCGCTGTAAAGCATTCCACCCTCAGGCAGGTGGGCAATCAGCAAAAAAGCCAGCCCACCGAAGAGTGGGCCGTGGTGCAGAGGCCGCAGGGCGGGCTGCC